CTCTCCTCTCCACATTCTTCTCTTTTGTTTTTTTCTCTTTTCTCTTTTTTTTTCCTTTTCTTTCTCAGCCCTCCCCTCCCCTCCTCCCCTCCCCATCCCCGCACCGGCCCCTTGTGTGGTGAAGCTTCTGCCTGGCCTAGATTTCCAGGATCTGCCCTGCACAGTTGTGGCCTCTATGAGGAGTTAGTGTTCTGGAAAAGGAGGTGAAGAGAGGTGGCTGTCATTCCTAGACAGAGTGGCAGCCGCATGTCACGCACTAACTCAGGCTCCGCCATGGCCGGATGCTCATATGGGGGCTCTGAGGCAGGAGGTGTCGGCTCCCTCCGTCCCCCGGGGGCTGGCCATCCCTGCTTACAGCTCTGGGAACATCTCTCTTCTCTGTCCCCAGGATTTGGAGGGGCCCCGCTGGAGCACCATGCAGCCGTACTTTCTGTCTCTCCCCCAACTTCCCCTGGGTTTCTGTTGAAATCTGTGTGCCACTCCCAGCCATTTACGGGGCTCCTTTGAGTAAGTGGAAGCCTTAAAAATAAAACACCAACTCCCTACCCAGCCAGGGAGGCTGCCAGACCCTGCTAATGAGGCCAGTACCCCTCGCTGTACTCTGCCCCGGGGGACCGAGCGCGAGCGTGAGAAAGTCCTGTAGCCTAAAAACCCAGAAACCGCCTGTAGGGTGGGCAGCCGTACCGGCTCCAGGGGCCTTGGTTTGGAAGGTGACGTTCTCAGGGTGAGGAGACCCAAGGGGCCCTGCGGCCTAGTTTATGCTGCTGTCCTGGGGTGACCGCTTCAAGCAGCACCTTCACTTCCCCCGAGTCCCGTTTGGACGGCAACCTGCGTGGAGGCCGTGGCTCTGGGCAGACCCCCTGGCCTGCCTTTTCTCAGTGCCTCAGTTTCTTTTGCCAGGCGTCGGATCTCCTGCTGAGCGCTCTCTGGCCCTGAGCGCTCTGCCCACCATGCCCTCTGGGCCAGCCACTGCTAGAAAAGCCCCCAGGGAGGGTACAGAATCCTCATGATGGGGTGTGTTGGGGGTTGCTCCATGGAACCTCACATTCCTGAGGCCGCCCCACTTAAGGGGTTCTGGACACCGAATAGCTCCTGTGCACTCTTGTGCATGAGGTCGGGGTCCAAGGCAGGCATCCCCATCACAGGCCACTCAGAGCCTGGAGGCGTGCCCCAGCATCCCTGGCAGCTCCCTGGGGGAGGAGTGGGCAGGACCCTGCAGGCGGCCTCGGAACAGGCCTGGGTGTTGCTCTGAGTGATGTTGCAGGGGCATGGGTGGGTACTCGTCTCCAGGCCCCTCGTTGTGCACAAGCCCACCTGTTTCTCGGAGCGAGCCCTGCCCACCCAGTCCCTTTGATACTGAAGGTCGGGAAAGGAGTCCAGCAGCCAGGCTGGAGCACAGCGGGCTCAGGCGTCCTCCTCCATAGCTGCAGCATGTGGCATCCTGGCCACGACCACCATGCCCTCCCCAGGCCCCAGGGTACCCCCGAATCAGGCTGTCCCACTCCAGCCCTTCCTGGAGAAGGAGCTTCAGAGGTCACTGGAGGTTCCTGGGAGCAAGAGCAGGAAGCCCTGGTGGGTGCGTGTTGCGTAACCAGAGGAAGAGAACTTCGTGCTCCAGCTGCGGAGGTGGAAGAGGAGGAGGAGGAGGAGAAGGAGGTGGAGGAGAAAGAGGAGAAAAAGGAGAAAGTGGAGGGGGAGGCGGCGGCAGCGGCAGTGGGGGTGGCAGCAGAGGCCTCAGCGTGGAGCAGAGCTGGCTGGAAAGTCTGCTTAAGGCTGCCTTGCAGGGCCTTTCGCCTGTGATCAAACTTCTCGCTTCCCAAACGCCATCCCAGGTCCCATTTAGATGACCCTGTGGCCAGGCCCTGCAGCGCCTCTGGGGGGTTAGGGCCTGTTGAGGGTAGCGGTAGCAAGCCCACTGTTTGGAGGGGCAGGTGGGCTGCATGTTGGGGGATGTGGCTGGGTAGGCTCTAGCCTTGGGGACAGCACGGTCTGCTCATACTGGCCAGCAGGCAGAGCCAGTGCCCGGTGGTAGCGCTGGGACCGACCCACACTCCTCCAGGCTGATTCTCACCCCTGTAGTGGAGGCTTGCGGGGGTAGGCAGCGAGGGAACAGGCTGCTCCACTCCCCTCCCCGCCACCCACCTGGGCCGGCGCTGCCCACCCACGCTGAGTCAGAGCTGTGGGCGGGGCGGCCATGAGGCTGAGTCAGGCGGGGGAGGCCGCCCCCTTGCGGAGGCCGAATCTTCTTAGGAGCCGATTCTGAACTGGCCACTCTTTGACGGGTGATCCGGTGGACAGGGGGTCTGCGTCTTGCTGTGGAGGGTCTGCCTCAGGCCGGTAGGGGCTCCGCCCAGGGCAGGTAGGCACAGGAGGAGAAGCGAGACAGAGGAGAGCTGGAAAGACCTTTCTGGCAGAGGAGAAGCTGGTTCCCTGCTGAAGCAGCTAGGATCCTGCGGCCACGCGGGAGGGATCTGGTTCCTTGCTGAAGCAGCTAGGATCCTGCGGGCACCCGGGAGGGATCTGGCTCCCTGCTGAAACAGCTAGGATCCTGCAGCCACCCGGGAGGGATCTGGTTCCCTGCTGAAGCAGCTAGGATCCTGCAGCCACCCGGGAGGGATCTGGGTGTCTCCCTGGGGACAGGGTCTGTGCCTGGAGTGCTGCTCCCTCACCCTCACCCTCACCGGCCACCCACAGCCTCATCAGCGTTTTGGGACAGAAAGTTTCCAGCCTACAAAACTGGAGAGAGCCGTTGACATCCAGGGCCGCAGTCGAGCCCTCCCACTGTCGGGCTGGGGTTCTGGAATCGGGAACCTGGGTGCCAGGTGTCAGCTGTGCCACAGGATGTCAGGCACATGATCCGCCAGCCGGGGTCGTGGAGGGGCCGGCGGGGGTTGGGGAGGCATGTTCTTCCCAGAGGGACAGAGGCAGAGTGCCTTGGGGTTTGGGACTGTCACTTCCACTTACAGTCCTGTTGGCCGGGTGAGTCACACCACAAGCCCTGTACCCACGGGCAGCCTGGGAGGTGCCTCTGCCCGGGATGGGAGCACGGTCCGGGGCCTGGGAGGGAGCAGCCGCCCTCAGCTTCTTCCCCACTCTCTCCCCTAGACTCCCTCTTTCCAGTTTCCTTCTGAGGCTCACAGCAGAGAGACCTGGGCTCAGTTGCAGCTTCTTGGTCTGGCTTTGCTTACACTAGTTCTTTTAAAGAGTTTTTTAAATTGTGATAAAATATATGTGACTAATCCAGTTGACCACGGTAACCATTAAGTGCACAGTTCAGCGGCATTAGTGCATTCACGTGGTTGTGCGATCATCACCACCATCCATCTCCAGAACTTCCCATCTTCCCAAAGTGAAGCTCTGGTACCCTCCGTCCTGGTGTGTTTAGAATTGGTAGCTGAATCTGGAGGCTCTATCAGGGAGACTCAGTTTTCCTTTTGGGGAAATCATTTTGGCCGTAGCAGTTTCTGTTTTGGCTGGAACCCTTTCTGGGAGGACTGTGTGTCCACCACGAAGTAGAGAGTGGTCAAGACATGACAGCCGCCTGGTCAGAGCCAGGGCCACAGCCGCCAGGGCTCCAGAGGGGCTGACCGCCGGGTTGGGATGGGGTCTGCCTGCTGGCTGCTCGGGTTCTAGGGTCTGGCTTGACTGCCTGTCTTTCCTGTGCCTAAGAGCACCTGCCAGGGATGAGGGGGTTTCCAGAGCTTCCATGTTTGTGCAGGACACATTCTCCCCGTGCCCCCGTCCTACAGGGACACCCGGGTGGGCACTCGAGCAGCTCCAAGGTAGAAGGGTAGCAGTCAGGCCTACTCCTCATTTCTAGTTCTGTGCTGGCCCCTTACCTGGGCACACCCTCTTCCGACAAGTGTGACCTGTGTATCTGACCTTGCTGTCCCCACGGACGCTGGTCTTGCTTTCTGGGCTCCCGGTCTCCGCTCAGTGACCTTTTGTCTGATCCACCACATGAACTAACTTCTCAGTTCTCCCTCGGTGTGTGCTCATCTGGAAAACAGTCGGGGGTGGGAGAGGAGGTGAGGTGCGCCCGGAGTCCCCTCTGCAGCAGAGGGCTTTCCTGGGATCCTTGGCCAGTGTCCTGGGCTCCAGCTCTCCTGCTTTTCCTGCTGGGGCTGAGATGGAGGGGCCCTGGAGGCAGAGGGGCAGGTGAGGGTGCTCCAGGCAACGGGAGGACTAAGAAGCTGTCCTGGGGCCCATGGAGCTGGGGCACGTCCACACCCAGGCTTCTGTGCCTTGGCCACAGGGAGGTGCATGCGACCCCACCCCACAGCGGGAGCCCCGAGGAGATGAGGCCAGCCCCCTGCCAGAGCCGCCTGCTGGAGGCAGGACCCTCCACTCGCCAAGAGTGGTCCCCGGGCAGTGAAGCCTCCCGGGGATGTGGTCATCGGGCATCTCCTGAGTGGTCCCGGGGCAGTTGAAGCCTCCTGGGGGCGCAGTTGTCTCCTGAGTGGCCGCAGATGCCATTTTGTTTCCAGAAGCTTCTGCTCTGCATGAATTAGACGTGTCCTTTGACTGAGTCCGTGGGGCTGCCCCACACCGGGCCTGACAGGTGCCCTCCTGCTGCTGGCTGAGCCTTTCTCCCCTTCCCTCCACAGTACATCGATGCCATCAGCAACAAGCAGGGCGAGCTAGAGAATTACGTGTCTGACGGCTACAAGACCGCGCTGACGGAGGAGCGCAGACGCTTCTGCTTCCTGGTGGAGAAGCAGTGCGCTGTGGCCAAGAACTCCGCGGCATACCACTCCAAGGTGAGGCGGCTCGGGGCTGCGCTGTGCTGGCGCTGGGCCTCGCAGGCGGAAATGAGCTAGGCCCCTGCCCCAGCCCCGTGAGCACCCCAGGGCAGTGTCCGGGCTTGAACTCGTGTTTATTTCGGGTTTTCTTGGGGATGAAGTCCTAGAAGAATTACCAGGTCACGGGGTGCAGGCATTTTGAAGACTCGCATTAGAATTGCCACCTGCAACCAGGGAGAGTCTGATGGGTTTTCAAGACCTTTTAGAACATTCATTTAAAAGAACGCTCTTGGCTCTTCTGCCACAGCCTTGTCCTGGGGAGGCACAGGCTGACAACAGGCGGGGGACGGTCATGCTCCGTGCTGGGTGCTGGGTGCACCTGGTGGGTGGCCTCTGTGTCTTCACTTGTTCCTCCTGTGGCTCCTCAATCCACAGTCCTGGGGTACAGCCTCTGGGTTCATGGCTTTGCTCACCCGAGGTGCTGAGGACTCCCAGCCCCAAGCCTGGGTCCCCAGCCACCCAAGACCACTGTGCCACTGGACCCCTAAGCCACCCAAGACAATCGTGACACTGGCCCCAGATCCAGCACCTGCCACAGCTTGGCTGTCCTACGTGGACCTGCCACCCCTCACCCAACCTGAACCTGGCCTATTTCTTTGCCTCCTGGGCAGCCAGGGGCCCTGCCTGGCTCTCAGGTGGCCCCCCAGCCCCTCCAGTGCTGCTCCAGAGGGGCCTCCCTGGGACTCACACCTGGTCACAGGGTCCTCCCCTGGCTCCCAGGCTCTCTGTGACCTGCGCCTCCACCACCTCTGCCTGCACTCCTGAGCCCCTGGGATCCTAGGTCGGGCCTTGGGTGGTGGCCACATGCTGCTCCCTCATGACCTCTGAGAGACCCCTCTGCCCATCATCTGTTGAGGGTCCCTCCTCGGGTCGGTAGACTCTGTTCCCCACCCGCTGCACAGTCCTGCGGCCATGTGTTTCCTGCTAGGCATCTCCAGCCTGGTCGTTCCTTGTCGGGGAATCCTGCCCTGGGGTCCGCCATGTCCCAGGACCAAACCCGGCCCTGCTGAACCGGGAGCAAGCTCCTCAGGGAGGGGCTGCAGCAGCCCCCTCCAGGGATGTCCTGAGCCCCCATGCGAGCAAGGGGAACCCCTCCTACGAGGCTGACTTAGCCCCCAGAGCAAGCAAGGCCCAGAGGCCGGGCTCCCCACTGGGAACAGGCAGGGCCAGCAGGCCCCTGTTCACCCACAGTCCATGAGTAGGAGTTAGGGTGGGATTAGATCTGTCCCCTGGAACATTCCGGAGCATCTCAAGAGTTTAGCAGATGGAGTTCAGCAGCCAAGCCCACCAAGGGAGGGCCTGGTCATGTCTTTCTAAAATAAGGGGTCCCAGGGATCCACGGGCTATACCTTGACACTTGTTCCCCCCACCCACCACACACACATGTATGTGCATGTACGTACACACACACACACACACACGATATGGACCCAGTGCTCCAGTGCTCACAGCCTGGGGACAAAGACAGGAGACAAGTGCTCCTCCCTTCCTGGAGAGACCCCTCCTGCCGGCCTGCACCTGCTGGGTGCTGTGGGCAGGTGCAGTAAGGACAGCAGTAGCACCTGTGACCCCTGGCTGCTGGGGGACTCACTGGTGACAGGCTGTGCTGCCCCAACTGCCAGGCAGGGAGCGCTGTGGAGCGCAGGCCTCCTGCCTGCTAGACCGAGGACTGTGGCGAGCGTCTGCGCCCTCTGGCGGGGGCCAGGCCCTGTGACAGGGCCAGGGAGCCAGAGCTGTCAGTGGCTGGGGTGCTGCTTGCAGGGATGGAGGGCTGGGAAGCCAGGCCGCAGGTGCTGTTGTCTCCCAGGAGGGGTTGTGGGATGTGCCTGTGCGGTGGCAACAGCTGAGCTCCTGGGCTCGTGGGCCCCCGGGCATGTGTGGAAGAGGCTTGTGTCCCACAGACCCACGTGGACAAGCCTCTGGGCTGGGGGCCAGGGTGTGAGGGCAGCCTCCTCCCAGGGCAGTTCGTAGGAGCTCCCTGGTGGTTGGGTTTGGGCCTGCCTTGGGGCCCTCAGGGTGGAGGGGGTGACGCTGGCTTGTGGCCGCTGCGTCAGGGCCATGCTGCTGTGAGGTCGGTGGTCGGTGTCCTGTGGCCGTCAGCCCTGATGCTGGTCCCTGTTGGCCTCTCCGCGCTCCCGACAAGACGCACTCCTCTACCACTGATCTGAGCCAGGGTTCGGCGGACGGTCTGAATGACCACAGAGTTCATACTTTTGGCTCTGTGGACCATGGAGTCTCAGCTCTGTTACTGCAGTGTGAGGGCAGCCGTGAATGAATTCACAAATAGCAGTGCAGCTGTGTTCCAGCAAAACTTTGTTTACAAAACAGGAGGCCAGCCCTCGGGCTGTGGTTTGCTGACTCCTGGTCTAAGCCAGCAGCGGAGGGGTGAGGGTGGCGTGGGTAGGACTTGCTCAGAAGGGCTGTCGTCCAGCACCCTCTGTGGGTCCCCCACGTGGGTGCCCAGCCATGTGTAACAGAATAGGGATGAGTGGGGGGATCAGTGAAAGCTGGAGAGACCCCAGAGGTGCCAGAGACAGAGCAGTTCCGGCCCAGGGCTTTAGGGTCTGGGGGTCCCAGGAATCTAGGCCCTGCAGCCTGCTTAGGCCAGGAGGGGCAGGGGCTACTTGATTAGCTCCCAGGACCCAGGCCTGGTTGGCCCCTAGTCCCACAACCTTTCGCCACGCCTGTGGCTTCCTGCTCCTTTGTCCCCACTGTGCTCAGCTGGTGTGTGTCCAGCAGGCTGCAGAGTAGTACATCCAAGGGAGAGCGGGCTCTTGGGCCCACGGGCAGTGGATGTGGAGCAGTGAACCTCAGTGTGTCTGACAGGGCCGCCTTCCTGCCCTTGGCAGCCAGGCTGACCCCCACTGGGCAGCACCGCCCCCTCCCCCTGGCCACCTGGGATGCCTTCCTAGCACTTTGGGGTTTGCCCACTGGGGTTTGACCTTGTGCGCCCCTGTCCGTTTCTCCTTCCTCCAGGCGGTGATGGGCCCCACGGGGGTTGGGCCTGGGTTTGCTCTCATTCCTGGAGGTCCCCTGACTGCATGACTTGTGGTCACATCCCAGGCCCTTTTCCAGCAGCCGCTTCTGTGGGTTGGGGTCAGAGGCTAACGGGTGGCCTGTCTCGCTGAGAGGCACCACCTGGTGAAGAGCAGCCTCCAGCCCCAGAGGGTGCTCAGGGAGGGCTCTCAGGGCTGTGCCCGGCTGCAGGAGCCTGAGCCAGCCCTTACTCCTCCCTTCCTGCTTCCTCCACTTCAGGGCAAGGAGCTGCTGGCACAGAAGCTGCCGCTGTGGCAACAGGCCTGCGCTGACCCCAGCAAGATCCCAGAGCGCGCCGTGCAACTGATGCAGCAGGCAGCCAGCAACGGCGCCACCCTCCCCAGCGCCCTGTCGGCCTCCAAGTCCAATCTGGTCATTTCGGACCCCATTCCGGGGGCCAAGCCCCTGCCGGTGCCCCCTGAGCTGGCACCGTTCGTGGGGGTGAGTGTGGCCTCTGGAAAGCTTCACGGGTGTGGGTGGGTAGGGCAGCTGTTGTCGGGGTTGGGGGCGGCCAGGGTGCAGAGCCCAAGGCCCCCTGCTGAGGGGCTGGAGGTGGAGGGTTCTTTCCCCTGGTCTTGCCCGCGGTGGGCTCCAGCAACAGCCTGCTCTACCCCCTTCCCTACAGCGGATGTCTGCCCAGGACAGCACGCCCATCATGAACGGCGTCGCAGGCCCGGATGGCGAGGACTACAGCCCGTGGGCTGACCGCAAGGCTGCCCAGCCCAAATCCCTGTCTCCTCCGCAGCCTCAGAGCAAGCTCAGCGACTCCTACTCCAACACGCTCCCCGTGCGCAAGAGCGTGACCCCGAAAAACAGCTACGCCGCCAGTAAGGGTCCCTGGGTGTGCCTCCCCAGACATGTCACACCCCTGAGTAGGGGACTGGGAGACCCTGAGGCTCACCAGTGTGTGGCCGTGTGTGCCTACATACGGGTGGTACACACAGATGTGCCTGCCCAGCACCCAGCTTCCTCCTGTCAGGCCTCTGGTGCTTAGTCAGGGCGTGAGTGGGGTACTGGGTTGGGTCAGGCTCGTGCAGGCAGCAGCCACTTAGGAGCAGGCAGCTGCTGCTTGGGAGAGCTTAGCCAGCCCGGGAAAGGCTCACTCGCCCACCTGGGGCACAGCACCTCAGCCAGGCTCCCTGGGCTTTGCTGCCCCGCGAGCCGGCGGCTGTCCCCTTACCTGTCCTTTGTCCCAACAGCTGAGAACAAGACTCTGCCTCGCTCGAGCTCCATGGCAGCCGGCCTGGAGCGCAACGGCCGCATGCGGGTGAAGGCCATCTTCTCCCACGCTGCCGGGGACAACAGCACCCTCCTGAGCTTCAAGGAGGGTGACCTCATTACCCTGCTGGTGCCTGAGGCCCGCGATGGCTGGCACTACGGAGAGAGTGAGAAGACCAAGATGTGAGTGTCTCTCGGGGGCGGGTTCCAGGCAGCTGCTGCCTTCAGCAAGTGTGTGGGGCGGCGACACTCAGATGCGCTGGGACCTTGTGTTTAGACTCACTGCAGGTCACAGGTCCTCACCCTAGAAAACCTGGGCAGTGAGAGCAAGCGTGACCCGGGGTCTTCACCACCAACAGGCGTCTCCTCCCCTGGCAGGGGCCTTTCCCCCAACCACTTCCCTGCAGGGATCTCCCCCCACGGCAGGGGTCTCTCCCCACAGCAGGGGTCTCCCCCCACGGCAGGGGTCTCCTCCGACGGCAGGGGTCTGCCCCGACGGCAGGGGTCTCCCCCGACGGCGGGGGTCTCCCCCCACGGCAGGAGTCTCTCCCCACGGCAGGGGTCTCTCACCGCAGTCTAGTGACCTCCTTGCTCCATCGCCTCGATGTGCCACTCAGTTTGGCGTAGGGTGTGGCGTCCCACACGTGTACGCCCTCAGCACGTCTGGCCGAAGCCCTGTGGTGGGTGTCAGTTTCCCACAGTTCGCAGGTGCAGAGCAGGGCTTGGCCATCCTGAGACCGCAGGCTTTCTGCAGCTTTCAGTTCTTCCACATGCCAGATGTGGAAGTTTGGAGTTCTAGAAGTCACCTATGGAGTCAGATGGGCCATACCTCCCCAGTTTACTGAATGCTGTTGCAGAGAGGCTGGGCCAGGGTGCCACCCTCACTGGACCTGGGGGCTGCCTTCCCAGGGCTGTGTTTGTGTGGGTGTGTCTCTTGGCAAGATGGGAAAAGGCCCTGACATTTGTGCCTTCCTAAGCCTGGCCTTGCAGCCACCACCCTGGGGAGGGGGCCGAGGGCAGGGGGTTTCCCAGGAGGCTGCTTCATCTTTTTTCCAGTGGCCACTCCCGTCTTGGTGCCGTCCGTGGCTTAGTGTGGCACTGGGGCTGCGAGGCAGGAGCAACTGCTCTGCCTGGGCTCTGGGGCCTTGCAGTTGGGTCTGGTGGGGCCAGCAGCTCCCGCCAGGTTGGGGACAGCCTGGGCCACCTTGCTCTTGAGGCTGAGCACACAGTGGGAGCAGGCTCTTCCTCCAGAGACAGCGGCGCAGCCGTGCTAGGGAGTTAGAGGGACTTGTGCTTGGGTGGTGGTCGATGGGGGATGGGGGATGGGGAGCCACTGCCCCCACCCAGGGCCTCCGGGCTGAGCGTGGCTCTTAGCTGGGGCCTCTCTTCCAGGCGGGGCTGGTTTCCCTTCTCCTACACCCGGGTCCTGGACAGCGACGGCAGTGACAGGCTGCATATGAGGTGAGTGCTGGGCCCAATGGGAGTGGTAGATCCCCAGCTCTGGGGAGGGGCTGTGATGGCACCAGCAGGTCCCTGGGCTTGGAAAGCTGGGATGGGCTTCTGGCTCCTTGTCTGCTACTGCAGGGCCATCCCCAGTGGCCCTGAGAGCTGGGCGCTTGAGGCCCTCAGGGTGGAAGCATGGTGGTACCCTGTGCGGTGGGGCCCGAGAGCCCTGGGGACACCAGTGCAGGCAGCAGGTGCTGTGGGGGCAGCACCTGGGGGCCAGGTGTGCAAGGACCTGGCTGTCCCAGGTCCTCCAGGTTCTCCCAGCCTTCAGAGAATCGCAGTAGCTGAAAGCCGGCGGGGTGCCTGGCTGCTGGGAGGGTTGGGGTTGCCGTGGCAGCCCAGCCCCTCTGGAGTCCTCCTGACTCACTTTCATGGCCAGGAGGAGGGAGGGAGGCCAGACTGGCCTGGCCCATGGTCACCAGGGCTGCAGCCTTGGCCTGAGAGCAGTTTCCCGCATGTGGCGTGGGGTAGGTGAGGGTGGGTCGTCCAGGGAGCCCACAGGGTTGTGGGGTGTTGGGGGTGTCCGGCCTGCTGGGCCATCTCTGAGTCCCTGTCCCTGCAGCCTGCAGCAAGGGAAGAGCAGCAGCACCGGCAACCTCCTGGACAAGGACGATCTGGCCATCCCGCCCCCCGACTACGGCGCCGCCTCCCGGGCCTTCCCCGCCCAGACGACCAGCGGCTTCAAGCAGAGGCCCTACAGTGTGGCTGTGCCCGCCTTCTCCCAGGTCAGCGGGCGGGCCTGGGCTAGGAGGGCCCGCAGGTGGAACAGTGGGCTCAGCCTGCCATCCCACATTGGAGCCTCCGCTGAGGGGCCAGGCGCCTGCGGGTCTGGGTCTCTTTGGACAGGCCTGGGGTGAAGGCTCCGTGATTTAGGAATGTGTGCACACCCCTGCTTCGGCCACAGGCTGCTC